AGCGTGAAAACTACATGGATTGCAAGTATGGACTAAAAAAATGCAGTTGTAGTCTGAAAATTGCTTATGAAAATTTTATGGGAAATAATTGTATACTTCCTTCTCTGTTTTTTTTTTTTTTTGTTGTTGTTGTTGTTAGGGGCCTGGAACCAGACAGTAATTCTGATTGAGCTTTTTGCATCATAGATACTTCTACCGCTTGCTTTCTGGACCAGAGCCTTTGTCAACATTTGAGAAAGAACGTGCTTGGCATGTACCTGATGAATTAGATATTCTGGAGATGAAGGTTTACCATCTGTTATGTTTAATCCAACTAACTTGTCTCTTTGATTTTGGTTGGTTTTAATTTTTATAAACATTCTGGGACTGTGGTACGATACTTATGTGGCTGTCATTTGATTATCATGCAGAAAGCTTGCAAAATCTTAACTGGACATCATGATTTCAGTTCGTTCAGGGCTTCTGGTTGCCAGGTTTTTCTTATATCTCAGAATATTCAAATAGTCAAAATTATACGCTGGGAAGCTTCAAGAATTGGATAGTTTTATGAATTTTTTGAGTGAGCAAGAGATCGTGGATTCTTGAATTTAATAGTTAAACGCTTTTTTGGACTTGTCTAGGCCTAAAGTTATTTTCCATTTCATCTTGTTATGCAAAAAGTTTGGCCCCTATCCACCTTGTGGCAGCAATTATTGTCGACCTGAGTGTTGTCCTATGTGAAGTGTGTTTCAGGTAGGAGTTTGGATTTGCATTTATGATGGAACTTTCTAGGTCTAATTTATATTAACTTTCTTGTTTTGGGAAGTTTGGTCCAGTTATACATGGGATATGCTGGGGAAGTTGCCCTTACTGAGCAAGTAGAGTCCTTGAATATTTCACTAAACGTTGCTTGTTGCCCACCAACTAATAAGATTCTCTATTGGTTTGTGTCTCAGTTTCAAATCAGCTTTGATTACAATTCACTACCGGCTGAATACCTATGATATATCTAGAGGGTCCAGTTTGTAAAAGAACCTAGAGGCTTCCAAGAAGTCGCGGTACATTTTCAGCTTCAACATTGTAATATATTTTCAGGTTCAACATTGTAACAGTATTGCCAGATGAAAACAAATCTTCGTAAAAATAAATAAATAAATAAAAGCATCCACAAGCTTTCTGCATTCCCACGAATAATGCTGTCTTAAACTATGTCCTAGTACATAAAATTTATGGCTTGCCATGAGTAAAGTCTGCCCATGAATTCTGACAGTAATCAAATTTATGTGAATAGATTTTCCATAAAGGATGTTAATGAAGGGTGAACTTAATAGTTTGGAATGGAAGACGTACAGACCCTGAATGGAAGAGAATGAACTTGGGCATGAGAGAATAATAAAACAACACTCACGTTCTATAGTTCAGTTTCTGTATAGATAGCTGAAGTTTCATTACTTTGGTACCATGTATCTAATAAATCTATAATTTTATTCACGAGTAACACTGTCCAGTACTTTTCAAACCAAGTCAGTCGAGGAATAAGGTGCTTGTTCTTTTTTCTCCTTGGTGATGTTTCCTTTTTTTCCCCTTTTTTCCTTCTTTTTTTCTTTTTTTTTTCTTTTTTTTCCCTAATGATTTTCCTATTTACAGGCAGCATCACCAATTAGAACTTTGGACGAGCTCCATATATCTGAAGTTCTTCCATCTCCATATTTTCCTTCTTATGTTGAGAGAAAAGAAAAGGACTTACATTCACCTTCAGATAATTTGAAAGCATCTCATTTGCACATTAAAAAATTTGATGCAAGCACTCATAAGTTTGGCCATAGAAGAAGTCATCGTTGCTACATTGTAACAGCTAGAGCCCGTTCATTCCTTTACCATCAGGTCAGTTATGCTTCACTGTGGATCAATAATTTAATCGTAACTGTACTTATGCATAGAGATGAGAAAATTAACTGAAAATATGATTGTGATATCTGTTACTTCATTATATTGCTACTGTTGTCACAGAGTTTTTACCGGTTGTAGTACTGACATGATTGTAAATCTTGATACCTCACATGCATATTCATTGTTTTAGAAATCAGTCAATATGGCTCAGATCCTGGTGAATGTCTTTCGACCCTTTACTACAATAGGGAAATAGTTGGTTTTGTCATTTTCTCATTTGTAGTACTGACATGATTGTAAATCTTGATACCTCACATGTGTATTCATTGTTTTAGAAATCAGTCAATATGGCTCAGATCCTGGTGAATGCCTTTCGACCCTTTACTACAATAGGGAAATAGTTGGTTTTGTCATTTTCTCATTTATTATTATCTTATGACTGATGTAAATTTTAGAAGGATGAGGCAACTTGTTATTGGCTGATGACTGATGTAAAATAGACACAAGCCAATATATAGATGATATGGGGTGGGACATATTTAACTATACCTTATTGAGTCCATTTATTTACTTTTCTTACCATCATTGTTTTAAATTTTCCTGATGTAGTCGATATATCAGCCGATCATATGTAGTCGATATATCGGCCGATGTATCTATTTATAAGTCTTGCCAATTTCTGGGCTATATATCCATGATGTGGCCGATATATTAGCCTATTTGTTGGCTGATATATTCGTTCGTATATGGCTTGTCACAAAGCAATATAGTTCTGTAAATTTTCTTAATGTTTTTTAGCAAAAAGTCTAGCCTTGTGATGCTTTTGAGCAAATTTTAGTTGACTTTTTCCCCTCTAAGTTTCTATAGTTGGTTAGTGATCCTAAGCATAAATTATTTACATTTTTGTATGCTTAGATTTTGTCAAGTGTGTTTAGATTACATTTTAGGATATCATATTATATATGCATATCATTCGATGTGGCACCCCGATGTTTACTACATATCCCTGATATTTTCTTGATATTCACAATCCAATATGAATTTTGAAAATCTGCAATCGATATTTCCCCTATATCCGATATTTAAGACCTTCCATAAATCTTAACATATTCAACAAAATCTGCAATCGATATTTCCCCTATATCCGATATTTAAGACCTTCCATAAATCTTAACATATTCAACTGAAATGACAGTCCAAAAATAGTTGACAATTTTGTGCAACTACATTTCAAAGGCTTGCAAATTGTTTTATAGATTGAACAATTAACACTATATTTATCAAGGTCGCAAATTTGGATGAAAATTATCAAGATAACTAAGGGACATAGTAAAGATAGTAACAAAAGTATAAAAAGAAGACCCAAAACAATGTTTAATTATTCTGTAAACTTATCAATGGAAAAGATTTAACCCCAAATCCTTCCCTACGGATCACACAAAGAAGGATTTGGCAAAAAAATTTCCTGTTCAAATTTAATGTTTGACTATTCATATGAAAGATTTATTTCTAAAGTTCATATTCATCATTTAAAGTATTTTTTGGCCTAAGCATTCAACAGGCAAAATGAACAATATAAATAGCTATTTTGTTTGTCTAATGGTGTAGGCTGAAGAATATTGAAGACCTAACAAATATTGGCAAGCAAGTGTTAGATCAAGATGCAATTCTTGTATCAATTTTTTTGTCATAATAAGTAAAGTGCTATTTTTGACCTTTGATTTTGTGTCTACTTGATTTACAGGAAGACATTTTAATGTTTGATTTTTAGACACTTTAAATGATACTTTTAACATTAGTAGATTATAAAATGGATGCACCAACATGTTCCAATAAAGCTTTCTGGCTCCAAATCCTTCTTAAAGGGATTAAGCATCCCTCCGTCTCTCCCAACCTCCTTCCTTTCCTACACCATCACTTTTTGACCACTTGGAAGGATGCATATACTGAATACACTCGTCAATTTGTAATTACATTCAGTCTGAAGAATCCAAGAGTCTGGTGACTGCTAAGTTCTATCTATGGACTTGTTATGCTTTGGTTTGTTACTGCTTTACTTCTGTCTGGTAGTGGTTTTCACTTTACATAAGGACAGTCTGAAACCTCTCACTCTGTCTCTATTGTATCTTCAGCGAGCAACATAAATTTCAAGGTCAATCAATCACTGAACATCTGCACCTGGCTAAAAGTTTCAATAATGTTTGCAGGTTAGACTACTCGTAGGTTTGCTCAAATCTGTTGGTACTGGGGAAGTGCCTACCAATAAAGGTCTGTTTGCACTTATATACCTCAGTGTTTTCAGTTTCTTTCTGTATAATTTCTATTTTTAATAATATAATTTTATGCAGTTGAGGAAATCTTGAATGCAAAGTCAGTGGCTGCTGCAAGTCCTATGGCTCCTGCTTGTGGTCTCTATCTGGGAAATGTTGAGTATGAATTCTCAAATGATTTTCAAAGATAACACTCATTTTGGTTCATGATGGATTCCCCATGTTATTCCTTATTGGCAGGTATGTGTTCAATGGAGTCTTTTCTTAGTATTTTTGGGTGGGTGTTAGTAAAAACATTTGATTATTTTAAATATGTTTATTAGATAAAAAAATAAAAAAGAGGATTCATGTTTGCCTAGATAGATCTGGTTAATCTTAATCATCATCATAATTGAATAGGTAATGTGTATTAATAAAGTGGGCGGCAGCTTTACTTTTTACGGTGCACTAACTTTATTTTGAGAGGACTGGAATGAGTGGGTTTGTGATTTGAAAAATTGTTAGCCTATCAAGGGAATATCACTTGCAAACTTATCCATAGGAATTGGCCATTTTTAAGGTTCCTTAAGAAGTGCTAGGAAGTAATATTTATATTTCATTTTTCTTTCTTATAACTTCATTATATATATTATATTATTATGTTAAAATCAAGTTCATGCAAATCAGATGATGCAACATAGCTTCAGACCAAAATGCCCAATGTCTTCTTTAAGGTAGAAATAGTCCTCTATCTTGCCTTCTCTGAACTCTAATTCGTTTGAAGATATTCGGCAATTGTCAAAGTGAGAATAATTTACTTATTCTATTGGATCTCTCAGCTTCTTGCTTTAGAAACAGATTCTGCGTGCAGTTGACTATTGCAGTCTTGTCTACTTTCTTGTGTTGTTTGTGAAGTATATATTGCCATTTAGTTCAATTTCTCCAGTGCAAGTAAGCTAGGAATCTCTGTCCATTTCTTTGGGGCCTTGCTTTCGAAACAAACGAAGCAAAGAGGTTCTCAAAAAAATCCTTTTCAAACAATTGAACTAGCAAGTCATATCCCAGATTAGTTCTTTTCTTTTTCTCTAAAAAAAAAAGAAAAAGAAAGAAAAAAACATCTCACCTTTGGATAGTATGCAGGTTACTATCATACAGAAGTTTTTTGTTTCTCTTTTTCTTTTTAGATATTCATAATAACATCATAGACCTTAGTTGCACTCATCAAGAATATAGCTTATGTCTCAAATTTTCTGACGCCTAAAATATATGACTGCAGGCTAAATGTTACTTCTCCAGTATATGTACTCCATCCAGTCAAATATGCAAATATTTCTCGTGTCGCCTGTTGAGTGTGAATTGATGAGCATTGCTGACTGACTAGACACAGTTTATTTCTCTGTGTAACTAGTCTGTAGTTGACTTCTACCATGCAAGGGGTTACACTTCTTATGCAACTCATTGGAACCCTTCATTGGATGTAATATTTTGGGCAAAGAAAGAGGCTCTTTAGTACACGACTGGCATATATAAATCTCTATTTTTGGCTTGCAAGTTAATTACAATCTGCAACCTTAGGTCCCCTTTTGTGATCTTAGTTTCAGTGACTAAATTTGTTAAGGATGCGTTTGGATTCGAGGATTTGATTTCAAATTTCAGAATTGAATTCTGAAATTTGAGATCCAGAATTTCAAACTCAATTCCTTCGTTTGCGAAACATCCAAATTTGAATTCTATAATTCAATTTGAAATTCATGTTTGACAAATTTTAGAGTTTCAATTTTAAAAATTTTAATTGAGTTTGTCATCTAGTAGAATTCTAATTTCTAAACTAAAATTGTAGCTCGAATATAATTTAGAAATAAGATACTCAATTTACATAAGGTTTGCATCAAATTTGTTGAAATAAATGCCTCAAATAGTATAGCACGTATCCAACCAATAAGATATATAGATAAAATACTTTAAAACCTCGAATGCAGTGATGTTAATAGTTTACCTAATAATCATCATAAAAATAACCGAAATCATTCATCAATAAAACTTTGTAAACTTCTCCACCACTAACCAAAACAATAAATAAAATAGAAACTTTAAATGTTGCATATAACAATTCAACAAACTAGAGATCCAAAATATGTTTGAGTTACAATTTTAGTTAATATTTTCCCATTATACAGTATCATTCTTAAATTGCTTTCACTCTAGTTTCTTTAAAACTTTTATTTCTGATTCAAATAAGAGTTTCTTTCTAATACTTATACACTTTTGTTTTGTATTTCTTATTGTAGCTTTCTCTCCCCAGTTCAAGAGGTCATGCTTTGCGAGGTCTTAAATCACTTGAAATAATAAGACCAAATGAGCTCCATTTTAAAGTGTGATACTATAAAGGAATCTCAAGAAAACAAAAGAAAAATAACAGACCAAATGAGCTCCATTTTAAAGTGTGATACTATAAAGGAATCTCAAGAAAACAAAAGAAAAATAACCATGGAAATAATCTAGGAATCTCAAGAAAACAAAAGAAAAATAACCATGGAAATAATCTATTAGCATATAAACCCCCAAGACTTGGAGTAAAAATGAAAATTGTAGATAGAATATGGGACTATTGCTGCATATACCCCTCATTCTGGATACTCACAGATTTCATATCGTCACTCCTATACGATCCCATTGTTTTATGTTTTTTCATCATATACCTTACTGCTATTTTATATTTAATGAGGAACAACTTAATGATAAAATTATACGATGAAAACATGCTTTACCCGACGTCTGCAGTTTATAACTAAGTCATAAAATTATCCTCAAGGTATTCATCTTAATGCAACTTCTCAGCAAGTAATTACATATAAACATGGATAATTTGAAGTTATATATGCACTAAGATGTACAAATTGACAGTACCAAAAAAAAGATATTATAACAAATAAATAGCACAAGAGCAAACTTTGCAATATTGAACACACACACGGATGATGCATACTTTCATCAAAGAAATAAGATATAAAGAAAAACTTGAATTTCATAGATAACAATTTCATAATATTAAATCATTATGATGCACGAGCTCTCTGAGCTTGATATTCATTGAACATCTCCAAAGCAATATCATCTCTGAACAAACTCCATTCATCCGTTGCTCGAGCACTTGTAATGTAATCAACATCAACCTCATTGTCGCTATCAAATGTGTCTGTATTTTCAAGCTCCTCATCCACCTCACGTAACAAAATCATTGTCTTCTATATTTTCATCTCTTACGAAATTGTGAAGAATAAAACAAGCATTTATAATCATGACTTGAGTCTTTTTATCAAAGAAGCTTGCTGTTCTAAGAATGGCCCATCGTTTCTTCAACACTCCAAATCCTCTTTCGATAGTATTTCGAGCAGATGAATGTCGCAAATTGAAGAGCTCCTTGTAATTTGTTGGAGTATTTCCTCGCCACAAATTCAAATGGTACCAAGTGCCTCTGTATGGAGCTAAGAAACCCCGACTATTGGTGAACCCCAAATCCACAAGATAATACTTATCTACAACATAAATATAAACATTTTAGCTTAAACATGAAAAAACTAGTTAAAAAAAAGGAAAGTCTATAAACACCAAGCTAATGTCTTACTTGTTGGTACTTTTAAACCATTAGGCCTCTGCAAAGCATCACGAAGGATGCGAGGATCAGATGCGGATCCTTCCCAACTAGGTAAAACATAAGTAAATTGGAGATTAGGATTGCACACGGCAAAAACATTTGTGCTGATATCACCCTTTCTATCTCGATATCTAGGTCGATCCTCAAGAGGGACTGTCATTTGAATGTGTGTCCCATCAACTACTCCAATACACCCTAACAATCAACCCCATAACATCATATAGGTTACATATTTGCACGAACGAATCTATATCTAATATACTACTATAAAAGTGGATTGGGATGTTAAAACATTTCTTCCCAAAATGCCCTCCAAAACTCGTACATGCACACATATAAAATAAAACACATACATACATAAACACATATACACACATTATTATCATCATTATTCATATTTTTCCATTAATTAATTATTGATTATTGACAGCAACATGCAATCCAAAAAACTTCCAATTAATTAATCCCATAATCACTTTCTAAGTCTAACGTCTCACCCCTCTCTAATTGATCCAATAATTAATATGTAAGAGATCAGATTACTGGCTTTGTAACTTACATGCACATATAAATGATCTTTATAATTAGCTATTAATATGTTAGAATAGCTATGCCTTTTATATGGTCATGTTATTATATTTAGCTAATAGGCAAGCAACTTTGTAACTTCCATGCAATATATATGTTATAAATAATAAATAATCTTTATAGTTTTCTATTAATATGCTAGAGTAGCTTTGCTTTTATGTGGTTTAGTGAATATTCAGAGAACAAGCTGTTGGGCTTCGAATATGGGGAAAGCCAAGTGGGTTGGCAAACTTTAATTCATAACGTTCGACCTTTTAACTGCTACGTAAGCAAACTTTAATTCATAACGTTCGACCTTTTAACTGCTACGTAACCGTTTAGCTTGTATGTAATAATAACTAATTAAGAGGTAAACCTCTAACTGCTACGTAACCGTTTAGCTTGTATGTAATAATAACTAATTAAGAGGTAAACCTCTTCTTCATAACTTCAAGTCAATGAACCTCCCGCTCATGTCTTGAAGATAGTCTCCTTTTGAAATCAAACTACGAACTTCATCTTGATGAGACACTCATCATTCCATTATGGTCTTCGACACAGATGATAAGACACCTCGAGGATTTGACTTAAGATTGGATCGGTACAAGGAAGGGGAAGAATAGCTCAAAAAAGGGGCTTCTCATGCAACAATATTTATTAGATTAGTTTGTTTTTCTTCCCATTCTAGCCATGAGCATTTAGCAATCAAAATTTTATTCTCATTCCGACCCTGATATGGTATCAAGATTAATTAATGCTTTGTTATTTTTTCTTTTGCTTTGTAGGTGGTTCACATGTGGAAAGTTTAAAAAATCTTAGATTCCTTCCATTGCAAATGGATCCTGAAGTTCTTTAATCTCATTCACAAGAAAATTTAAAGTTAGTAAATTTTTTTCCTCCTTGTGGTAATTTGCACGAACCTCTTTTACATTTTGCTCACTATTATTTATTTGTTTTATTAGATAAACTACATCGTTCTACTAGATTTATGATGAGTGGTTTTTGTGAATTAAATTCATGTGTATCGTCTATAAATCTAGCTTAGCAGTATGAAGTTCTATATTCTTCTTTAAAAAAATTATGGAGTTTTAAAAGATATAGCGATTATCAAAGGGCTTGCATATGGTTAATTTTACAGTGAAGGATGTTTGCGCAATTCAAGTTTTTATTGTTGAAAAAGAATATATCTCATTAATTTATTTTTAAAATTAACATTACAACATAAGATCAAGTATATGATTTTATGTTAGGGAATCACGTTGTGTATGATATCATACACATATTTTCATAAAGAATATTAGCTATATTAAATTTAAAAAAGTTTATATTTCTTTGTTTAGAATCTCTTTTGTTAGAAGAAAAGGAAAATATTCTTAAAATATAGAGAGTATTTTATATTATATATAATATTTTTATTATTGTGATGATATTATTTATCTAGGAGTTTTGCAAATTATAAGTGGTTACTAGAGACAGAATGTAGGAAAATGATGTACAGATATTTTAATTAAAATTTATTATTATCTCGATGAAATCTAACCTTGACTTTAGTAGACTTTAATCCATATAATTTTAATATGCTCTATTCTATAGGACCAAACTTTAAATTCTAGACTAATATTTCAAGCAAACATAAACCTCTTATTTTGTACCAATATGAGGTTCTTTGTGAAAATACAAGTTGATTTATATGACTTCAAAAGAACGCACAATCGACGCTAAAACTTATTTATTCTATATATTTTATGTAAGAGACTCTCATTAATTGAATAATTAATTGAAATTTATTTTTTTGAAAAAATAATAATTATGCCCATGTGCAACGCACATGCACTATACTAGTATCCAAAAAAACAAATTATTATTACCTCAAACCATTTCCAATATTTATTATCTCCAGCATAACTAGTGGTGGATTCTGCTTGTTTGACATAATACTTCTCGATATTCATAACTGCTCGGAGCTCCGTATGAAATTGTCGGCTTATAGTTTCTCCGGAACGAAAAAAATTGCTCCAACAATTCGATTCTTCAAATTATGAGAAATAACATGTAGGAAAAATGCCACAGTTTCTCTAACCATGACATTCCTAGAAGTCACCAATCCCCCTTTAGATTGTAAAATAACACACAACTTCTCAAAATAACGCCTATTAAGACGTAGTTGCTCCCGACATATTGTATCATTCATTAATGTGTCCATCCAGAGGGCTCTTTTATGAGCACATACATCTTCACTCCATGTTATCTCCTTGATGCTAGACCTTCTATGACGGTATGCTCCAACTACCATTATTATGAAAGTCACAATTATGATAACTAGCTTTTTTTCATCATCTTCACTTCTTCCCTTGCACG